CAGATGGACACTGGGCCTCTACTCAAGTACTCCTTCAACTTTTCTTAATTTTAAACCATTCAATATTACCTTGTTCTGTGCAAACAACAGCTTCTTGATCCATTTACAAATTCTGCATGTACACACTGCAATGTTCTTTAATTCTTATTATTCTCAAGGCTATTTATAGTTTGTCATGATCCTTTGCATAGACAATGAAACAAAAACAAACATCTTTCTGAAATTTTCATCTTTAAGCCAAGATCCATGTGACATAAGCAATGATGTTCCCTTATTCTACATCCTCTTCTGAATGAGACCTGAATCTCTGGCAGCTCCCTATAATGTAAGGTTGCAACTGTTGTTGGATGATCTTCAGCAAAATTTTACTTGCATGTGATATCAATGATATTATTCTATAATTTGAGCACTCTGTTGGGTCACCTTTCTTTGGAATGTCTATAAACTGTTTTCCAGTCAGTTGGCTAAGAAGCTGTTTTGCAAATCTCCTGGCATAGATGAGTAAGTGCTTCCAGTGCTTCATAAACTTGTTGAAACATTTCAATTGCTATTACATCAATTCCTGGAGCCTTGTTTTTGGCTATTGTCTGAGTGACGCTTGAACTTTTCCCTTCAGTACCATTAGTTCTTGCTCATATGCTACCTCCTGAAATGGTGGAATGTCAACTAGTTCTTTTTGGTACAGTGACTCTGTATTCTTCCATCTTCTTTTGATGCTTCCTGCATCATTCAAACTGTTGTCTATAGAATCTTTCAATATTTCAACTCAATGTCTGAATTAAAAAAAAACAATTTTATTGGGGGTTCATACAACGCTTCTCACAATCCATATATCCATCCATTGTGGCAAGCACATTTGCACATTTGTTGCCATCATCATTCTCAAGACATCTGCTTTCCACTTGAGACCCTGGCATCAGCTCCTAATTTTTTCTCCTCCCTCCCTGCTCACCTTCATGTTCCTCATGAAACATTGATAATTTACAAGTCATTATTATTTTGTCATATCTTACACTGTCCAATGTCTCCCTTCACCCACTTTTCTGAATCTTACAGAATCTTTCAATATTTCAAGTCAATGTCTGAATTTTTTTTTAAAAAGTTCTTTCATATTAAGTTCTGCCGACTGTGGGTTTTTTATTTTTTTGGTTTTCTAACTATAGATCTTTGCACATTTCATTATAATACTTGACTTTTAGTCTTCTTGGGCTGCCCTTTGAAATTTTCTCAGGAATATATATATTTTTGCATTGAACACTAATGACAGAAGACTTTAAGAGCTGTGAGAGAACATCAAGCACATCATTTGTCAAGGAAGCAAAGGGTCATTAAAAAATAAGAAAGAAAGAAAAGATCAAAGTGGATATCAGAAGAGACTCTGAAACTTGCTCTTAATTATAGAATAGCTAAGGGATTTGGGAGAAATGATGAATTCTTTCTAGGAGGTTTAATGAATTCTAACCACTGCACAGGATCACAGTTACTTTAATTGTGCTATATTTTCTGTGAGGTAGGAGTCCTGGTGGTGTAGTGGTTTATGAGTTGGGCTGCTAACCTCAAGGTTGGCCATTTGAAACCACCAGCCACTCTTCGGGAGAAAGATGAGGTTTTCTACTCCCATAAATAGTTACAGTCTTGGAAACCCACAGGGGCAGTTCTCCCCTATCCTGTAAGGTTACTGTGAATTAACTTGAGGGCAAAGTTTGCTTTGTTACTGTTAACTGCCATCAATCAGCCCTGGCTCATGATGATCTCATGCACAACAGAATGTAATGCTTTTCAGTCCTGCATCATCCTCATAATCATTTGTGAATTGGACCATGTGATACACAATTTTCATGAACTAATTTTAGGAATTAGATTATAAGGCTTTTATCTTTTGTTTGTCTTAGTTTGAAAATCCCACTGAGATATCAACATCATAGCAACATGAAGGCCTCCACTGACAGGTGCGTAATGATTGCACATGAGATGAATTGGCGAGGAATCAAACCGACGTAAGGTGAGAATTTTATCACCGAACCACCAATATTTCATAATTATGCTTTATAATGACTGGTATTTCAGGTCTAGATTACGTAAAAATTCTTACTGGTAATGGTAAAAATAAAATACTCATTAAGATCATTTAAAAATTGCTTTACAAAAATGTTTAAATATGAGCTTGTTCCAAGAGATTAAGACAATTATTTTAATTTTACCAGCTGTCATTAGACAGCTCTCTGGAGAACTGTACTACTCAGACCAGGGTTCTTGCTGTCCTCCCCAGAGGTTTTTGATCCACCAGGTCTGGATGGACTCACTCAGAGATACAGAGATATTTAATGATCACATAATATCCATTAACTGATAGAAAGGTTCATATTTAGTCTTGGATTGTACATTTTTCCTCTGTTAAAATATCTTAAAACACCTATACTAATTACAGGGAACAATAAAATATATTAATCAATGTAGTAGATCAGTGGTTCTCAACCTGTGGGTCACAACCCCTTTGGGCATCAAATGACCCTTTCACAGGGGTCGCCCGATTTATAACAGTAGCAAGATGACAGTTATGAAGTAAGAACAAATACAATTGTATGGTTGGGGGTCATCACAACATGAGGAACTGTATTAAAGGGTTGCGGCATTAGGAAGGTTGAGAACCACTGCAGTAGACCCACCCACAACAACCATTTCAAAGTTTTGTCTTATGTCAGCACTTGGGGCATCAAAGTACAGCTCAATTGATGTGATTTGATAAGCAGATAAAGTGTAGGTAAACCATTGTTTGTTGATCTAAGGAGAATCAAAATGAAAGCTGTGAACGGCCAGAGGGATAGAAGAGTATCCAATGCTTGGGAAGTTTCTTTCTCAGTTGGAGTTACCGTGGCGCTGGCCCAGGTTCAGTGCTAGTGTCTGTGGCCTTGGCCATAACTTACGTGTGTTGATCTTCTGCAGGGAGATGTGCTTTTCTAGCTGCCTGCGCAGCTTCACCTCAGCGCCATATTTTCCCACAGTGCCGTTGTCAGCCAGGATGAAGTGCGTGTGTGAGTTGTTTAGCACAGAGAGCTTACTCAGAGGGTTAGCCATGGTCTGATACACTCGGGTGACCTGACAGACACGAACCACATAAATTAGAAAGGCAGGATTTAGATTAAGACTGACAGGGAAAGCAAGCAGAATATGTGTATACTCGTGAGGATTACTTTACATAATTTTAAAATATTTCCGTCTATTCTCATGTCTCTACCCTATCTTCAGAGGGTGGTTATCTAATCGTTAGAATAAAATTGAAAAAAATAAAATACTTTAGTTAATAACAGCCTAATATTTTAGATAATGACAACCCAATAATTGCACTTCTGGGCATTTGTCCCCAAGAAATAAAGACTATGTTTATACAAAAACCTATGCAAAAATGCTTATGGATGCTTTATTAATAAAAGTAAAAAACTAGAAACAACTCAAATATTTTCAACAGACACATATTTAAAAAACAGTAGTACATCCATGGAACACTACTAAAACTAAAAATTCTTAATACATGCAGTAACTTGGATATATTTTCAGAGAGTTATGGAGTGAAAAAGCTAATCTAAAAGGGTTATACTATGTTGTTTATTGCATTCAGTCCACAAGGACTTAAAGACTAGTCAAAAGGCTGTCTGGTCAAATCTACCCAGAGGTACTTGAAGATAGACCGGGCAATCTGTTTCTGATAAGTCACAGTCTGAAACCCTGTGGAGTTCTATTCTGCAATTATGAGCCAGCATGTGTTATATACTATCATATTCGATTTGTATAACACTATTGAAAGGACAAAGTTCTAGAAATGGAGAACAGAGTAATGGTTGCCCAAAATAATGGAGGAGGTGGTAGGGAAGTGGGCGTGGCTAAAAGAGACAATTTAGATGATGGAAATGTTCTGTGGCTTGACTACATCAATGTTAATACCCCAGTGGTGATATTGTACCATAATTTTGCAAGATGTTACATCTGTATAAACTAGGAAAAGAGGATCTCTCTGCAGTATTTTTTATAGCTTCATGCGAATCTACAGTTACCTTAAAATAAAGAGTTTAACTTTTAAAAAATTGCCAACGTCTGGAGAGAAGACACTTACATCCTTGCCAACCAGGTCTTCCTTATTTTCCACGATGCCCCATGGAGCAATCCCTATAGCACAGACTCGGCCTCTGGACTTGGAGGAGTGGTCTTTCAGGGCATCCCCTACATGGCTGATCACACCTGTGAGTTGTGATAAATCATGTATTGAGGTCTCTTCTACTCCCATCTAGAAATACAGTCTCAGAAATCCACAGGCGCAGTTCTCCTCTGTCCACAGGGTCGCTGTGAGTCAGAATCAACTCGATGGCAGTGTTTCTACTATCCATCATATCAGTAGTCACGACATCATCCCTGAGCCCCTATAATCCCTATGGAAAAAGACTGAGACCTAATGCTCTTCATCAGTAAAAGAAAGCACACCGAAAGCCTGAGCTCATAGTAAGTAGGAGTGCATTGGTCTCTAGAAAAGGGGAAATCACAACTAAACTCAAGACAATTGTGCAGAAATTTCCTTTAGAAGCTTCCAAGATCAAAAAAGGAGAAGTAACAAAAGTCCTTTTGGCTGTCTTTAGATATGTTTAGCTAAAATTGAAATCCATACTATGCCTCAATTTTGTGTACCATAAAATGGAAGGAGATTTTTGGAGAGACTCGGTGAATAAAATGTTTGTTCTGGGCTCACTAGTATACTGCTGCTTGAACATAAAATAACCAGAATAAAAAAAATTTCACTTTTATCATAAACATTATTAAATGCAATGGTTGTGGCATGTGGTCTCAATTATCAGGAAGCTTTTTTGGGACCCATAATGGGATCTGGGTACATAGACAAGTACTTACATAAAGGGAAAACTTGCTCTCACCAGTACTAACTCCCCCGGTGAAAATCCAGGCACCGGTGGTCATGGCTGCCTTGATCAGGCCTTTCCCAAAGATTTGCTTCAACTTGGGCTGCATCTCAAAGTTCTGAAGGCCTCCATGCACAGATATTAAGAGTTTGGGGAGTTCCAGCTGCCACTCTTTCACCATCAGATGAAGCAACGAGTCTGGTTTGGTGTCATAGGATACACGAATATACTGCAAAATAGCGTGTGATGTTAATCATCCCATTTACATGGTTTTCTTATGACACAAGGGAAAGAGATATTGTGCAGGTCCTAGCAAGAACCGTGTGGATATATGACAGTGAAGATTCGACAAATAAAAATGCAAAATGGCCAGTGACATTTGACTTTCAGAAGGTTTGTTTTGTTTTACTTTAACAGGTTTATTGGAGCTTCATCCACATGTCATATGATTCAATGATTCAGTCACATCAGGAAGAGCTGTACCATCATTACCACAGTCAAGTTTAGGGCATTTTCTTCTTCCTGATACTCATTGTTTTTTATGAAATTGGTTTTTAATAATTGTGGCAAAAATACACACAAGAGTTTTATGTAATTATGTTCCATTAAATATTTAGTATAAGACCTTTTATGTAATTATGTTCCATTAAATATTTAGTATAAGACCTTTATACTAAAAATATTTAGTATAAGACCTTTGGTCTTATACTAAAAATTATCTGGTTTTTAACCTGAAATTCAAATATAACTGATTGTCCTTTATTTTATGTGGCATAATCTTGAGAGAATAAATTTTAAAGCTGGCTCAGCTAGAACCACATCTCAAGAGATTAGATGAAGGTGTTGTTGGGTCACTGGCCAAATTAAATGGGTGGTGGAAACAAGAATAATGGATAGAACTCTGAACTTGATCTTCTATTTAAGTGGATAAAAAGGTTAATAGTCAGATGACTCTGTCTCTATGAATTGTTTATTGTGTCCATGTAGGGTGTTGTTTTAGAAGAAGGTATGCTTTAGTCTTTTGAACAAAATGGAATTTTATTTTAAAAATAATATTGGGCCAGTAGAATAAAATGAAACTGTGGAAATGACTGAGGCAATAACGCATTATTTAGAATTAGCTACAAGGGCCAATCATGCTTCTGTCAGATGACGCTCTGTTTATCTGAAAGACCTCTGCCAAGGGAGGCTGTGGACAAACCTCAGAAAGAAATCTTCCAGAATCTCCTCACTTCGCTAAGAAAGTCTCCAGGTCCATACATTATCAAATGCAGCCCAGAGTTTAACTCATCACTGGAACTGGCATGTTCTGCATGATTTGGTTGGAGCATGTTTTTTTGATTCAGAGCTTTGGTATAGATTGAAAGGACACAGTATGCTCTTTCAATGGCTTCCAGTTTCCAAAACACATGAGTAAAAATCAGGTGTGTAGATGTGTCTCTTGGCTTTCAAGTGAAATATGAAGAAAGATTGACTCTTGCCCCTGAAAGAAGACCCAAGTACCCACAGTCTGGGGATGTGTGATGCTTGCCTCTGACAAATGTCATAGCTTCAGTGGCATTTAATCTTACGGCCCCTTACCATGGCCTTATTGGAGTACCCGCCACCCTGGAATTCAAGGGTCCCGTATGAATCAGTTGGGTAGCTCTGGGTATGCTTGCTGACAGACCATTTTTCGCGCTGTTTGCTGTCCTCTCCATCTTTGCTGGGTATTAAACTTGGCAGAGGAGGAATATGCTGGTTGGTGAGCTGACCACAGCAACACCTGAAAACACAGGTAAAGCACAATCTTCTTTACCATCTACCCCCACACTCCTCTCACCAGCTAAGAGGCATATGAATCCTTCACATTTCAGCTTTATTGGGGCCAGAAATGCCAGATAATCGAGCATATCTGTAAGATCCATGTACTTAAACACATCGAATGATTATCCTTCATTACTAAATATATTTTAATTATTGACAGCATTAATATAGGTATTAATTCCTAAAAATACTATGAAATATACAGCCATACCATCACAACTGTTGATCTCCCATTAGAAAGTCAAAATTTTCTAATGTTTTAACATTGTTTTCTTTGTAAAACATTTCTCTACATTGTAGTAATATTGAAAGTATATTTCAAAAATATCAATTATTTATTTTTCTTCCTTTATATCATCACTTTCCCTAGCTGTTGTGATCTTGTGCTATAGTGTCTCCTCATGACTCAGCCATTCTCCTCATGACTCAGCCAACTTTTTGCACTCTGGCTGTGGATTCTCTTTCTAGTCTCTGAGGAAATTCCTTGGTCTTTGTAGAATTTCCTTTCCTAGCCAGCCCAGGTTTTATTGGTAATGCAGTTATTTTAGGCTACCCAATATTTGAGTGGACTTGACCCATGCAACACTTGGGAATGCTGTTGGAAGAAATGAGCTGTCACCTAGAGTGATGTCTTGACGCAGCTGGACACTAGGGGTAAGTGGCATAAGAAGCTATCAGAGAAGGATGGAGGTCACCCCTAGACTTAAGGGGACTCCACAGGAAGTCATACTCACCCGTGAACGAGTCCAAAGAGCCTGGATAGGGGTGGTGGAGCTAGAGAGTAAAGTCCTGGAGACAGAGTCTGCTTGGGAGTTAGGATGGTGTCTTTCCTGGATTATGTGGTGCATGCTTGTGGTGGCCCTTGCTGACCTTGTCTCCCCTGCAGTCAGCCTGTGACCTTCTGCTTTCATCTCTAGCTACTTTCTTGGTGGCACAGGTTTTCTGGCCCAGGCTAGAGGGGTATGAGTCCCCAATGCCTTCTGCTCCCTTTGCTACCCAGCCAGCTGCCTGTTCGTGGCACCATGGCTCTGGCAGGTCCTAAAGAGAAATGACAGGCAAGGTTCTGGATGCTTTTGAAATAAGGAGGAGCAAAATAAGGAGGAGAACTTAAGTTTAATAACCATGGAAATTGGTTATTATAATCAATTTTTATAACCACTGGCCTTCATGCAGGTGAGAGGGGAAGAACAGTTAGATATGAGAGCCTGAGTTTATGTGTCATATAAATGTGAACCAGCTAATCTCTAGGAATGTCCGTGCTCTCGCCTAGGCAGATTCATAGTGTGAATAAATCACATCCCCTCAACCTCGTCCCATAGCGCATGTCCTCAGAGATGAGAGGTTTCCTCTAAATGCATCTCTGACTCCTTGTTTGCTTCTGTTCAGCTGTCTGAATAAAAGTGTTTGGCATTTTGTGTAAAAATCACTTCCCTTAATAAAGTTATGTCTCGTTCATTTAACTATGCAGTTCTTTACTGTGATGGCAGTTCTTCCGTAATTATATTTTAATCACAGTCGAAGAGACCCAGAAGACTCCTGGACATCGGCAGCCATCATCATCGTGACCTCACTGGGACTAAGAGACTATGTGGGCCCACCTGGGTCTGCAAGTTCACATTCGAGGTGAATGGCATTTGTAGAGGAGCCTTCTAGCCCAAGCAATTCCCAGATAATAGCTTATATGGAGAGTAGGTTTGGACCATCCATGTTGACTTCTCTTCCTTCTCCTACAAACACACACTAGATGAATAGTTGTAGGGCAACTGGTGGACAAGTGCTGGTTCAGAAGTTTTAATTACAATTTCTAATTTACCTGTTGGGATCTTTAGAGCTGGGAACCACACAGACACATTCTTGTTTGCAAAAAGTTTTTTCTATCCAAGTTTTCTGACCCTGGAAGAGAAAAAAATGGTAATTAGACAGATACATTTCTAAGCCATCATCTGAATTTTCCCTGGTGGGGTAGTGCTTATGTATTGGGCTGCCAACTACAAGGCCAGGAGTTTGAAACCACCAGCTACTCCACAGGAGAAACACAAGGTTCTGCCCTCCTGTAAAGAATTACTGTCTCAGGAACCCACAGGAGCAGTTCTACCCCGTCCAAACTGATTCAATGGCAGTGAGTGAGTGAGCTGACATTAACAGGACGTTTACCTGCAACCTTGGAGTTATTGTTATTAGTTGTCAGCAACTCAACTCCTCTACATGGTGACTTTATGTACAATAGAACAAAACATTGCCTAATCCTCCACTATCCTCATGATCATTGGTAAGTAAGCTTCAGTTCGTTGTAGCTCTTGTATTCATTTCCAATGTAGCCATTCGCCTTTTATCACTGTGTTGAAGAATATCCAGTTGTCATACATAGGATTTTCACTTACTCATTTTCAGCAGTGGTCTTTCTTCCTAGCCTGTTTTAGGAGCTCCGCTGAAACCTGTCCACCATGGATGATCCTGTCAGGATTTGGAACACTGGAAGCATAACTTCTACGCTTTTCTGGTCATCACAAAACAAAACTGCCACAGAAGGACAAATTGAGAGACATTGGTATGGCCACTTCCCTTGGTTGATGGCAGTCTTGAAGGACCTTAGTTCTTATTCTTTTAAAGAGAAATGACTTGGGTTCAATATACCTCTGTAGACATGGTGCAGCTTCTTTCTTTAGCTGAGGGGCACTCTGCTTCTGTGGGTGCCCAACCCTTCACTTGATATTTGCCTTCTTCCATTCAGCGTGGTTGACAGAAACAACAGCAGCCACTTCTGAGCTTGGATATCCACCTTGGAGGCCCAGAAACCCAACAATCTCACAGGCCATTGATTTGTGGATAATAGCGCTAAGGTGACTTCTTTGTCGTGTTATAATCATTTCCGACTCTAAACTTCAGTTATTTTGGAAAATGACAAGAAGCAATTGCTGCTGAGTCCATTCGGAGTCACAGGGACCCACGTCTGTCAGAGGACTGTGCTCCATAGGGTTTCCGATGACTTGTGTTTAGGAAGTAGATCACAAGGCTTTCCGTTCTGAGGTACCCCTGATTGACTTGAACCTCCAATCTTTTGGTTAGCAGTGGAAATGTTGATAATCATTTGCACCACCCAAAAGGGCACCTTTTAAGGGGAAGGAAGAAAAGGGAATCCAAATAAGAAAATGTTGGTGCTGTCTTCAGAGCATTTCAAATGACTAGTGGGCCTTCTGCACACTGATTATTTCAGGAACGTGCATGTCATTCTTGCTGCCTCCAGCACCTTTCTTCCCATCCCCCCACCCACCCTGGGCAGATGCGGAGTGGGTGCCATCCCTTCCCTGCCAGGCTCTTTCCGTGACTCTTCAGGATTAGAATGAAGTTCTCCTGGAGCAGATGAACCATGAAATGGGAAGACCATAAGCCAGTGGAGGCAGAGGCAGATGAACCCAAGGTCAGCAGGCAATATGACCGGTTGATGAGCCAGATGCAAGATACAGACCAGCAAGAAGGGAAAGAAAGCTTCCCACAAAGAGTGCTTAAACAGGAGGAAGCTACACCCCAAGGAAACTTTCTTTCCATTGTAGCAGGACAGTGTCCTGAGAAAGGAGGCTGCGCTGCTCTTTAATTCCTTGCTGTTCTTGGCAGATGCCATCATGGGGTTGTTTATGTTATGAAAGATCACATCATGGGGGAGGCCTCGACTGCCAAACTTCAAGAATCCTGGCCCAGTCAAGTTGACACAAACCCTACTATCACACCCTCCCTTGAGTCTGTGAGTGGGGGCTTTGAAGGATTTCTTGGTCCCTTCATCCTCCCTCCTCCAAGCCTCATAAGTCTTTCCATTGCCATTTATTCTGCCTGCCAGTCCTACCTCAATGAGCTCTTCCTCACATCTAGCTGAATGGGCTTCATCTGCGTGAAGCCTTCCCTGGTAATGCTTGGGTGGCAGAAGCCCAAGGGGCGTGTGTCTGAAGGTCTCTCTGTTCTGCTCAGAGAAGCAGTTGTGCATGTACCTCTGCACCATTGGCTGGAGCACAATGGGCTCTTTGCAGATGTCCCATGGACAAAGGGATGCATGACTAGGTAGACAGACACTGAGTCCTTGTCCTAGACAAATTATGCTCACTGCATTAAAAATCTGCATTTGATCTTTGACATAATGAACCTCAAAGGAACCATTTGTTTGGTCTCTGCTTGCCACGCAAACTAAAGTCATTATCATTTAGAATGGAGGACAGAACTGTTGCCATGAACTCTTCCAGAGCGGCTGGAGGAGTAGAGGGTGTTTCTCAGTGGGAAGACAGGAAAGATGGAAACAATGCCTGCCCTTTGTACGGAAACAAGATTTTAGGTGAAATAATATTGAAATAGTCCTAAAAGAAAGAAGAAAAATGAGAGGATCCCTAAAATAGGAGGAAAGAGCCCTGGAGGCATAGTGGTGATGCTTGGCTGCTAACCACAAGGTCAGCAGTTTGAGCCACCAGCCACTCTGCAGGAGAAAGACAAGGCTTTCTACACCTGTAGAGTTACAGTCTTGGAAACTCACAGGGGCAGATATACTCTGTCTTATAGGATTGCTGTAAGTCAGAACTGACATGACGGCAGTGAGAAAATAGTAGGAAACATTTTCTAGAGGCGGCAAATGCCTCACGGCCAAACAACTGCTCTTTCAGAAAATCAAGATATAGGTGAACTAGACTCTACCTCAAACACACCTGTAAACTGAGCACTGAAGACTGCAATTCCATGGTGTTTGAAGAAGCAGAAAACAGCTATACATAGGGCACTGGACTGTCAGTAGGTGAATTAATATTCACTTACTGCTTCAATGCCCCATTGCTGGATTAAGATATGTATTGTTCTGACAAACCTGTGTCTGACATGGTCAGTGAATATTATTGTAAGTTTTCCTGACCACCAACTCCCATTGTTTGTGCAAATAATGTCCAGTAATGCAAGGATTTATTCTGTACAGGTGAATAATCTAGGTATTGAGATATGCAGTTAGCCGATACTAGTTCACTCTCCCTCTCTCAATAGTGTTTTAAAGTCAGTACCATAAGCTAATCAATGACACTATAAACAGAAGTTCCATATGCTCTAGGGAAATGATCGATAAGATTCTCTACCATAAACAAGGGTGTACGTAAGGTGAACCAGAGGCAGATAAAAAGAACAGATTCAAGAATAGATTTTGGGCTTGCACTAGCTTCAATCTAAGAACAATTAGTTCTTACAACATAGCCCTGCTTGATATTCACTCTCATGAAGGAAACACAGCAGATAAGGGTGCTATATAGCACGAGTGGTGAAGAAATTAGATGGTGCTGGGTTATCAGAGAGAATAGCATCTGGGGTCTTCAAGGTTTTATTTCCAAATAAGCCGTCATCTAAGTGACAAATCAACTAAGTCCCCATTGAAGAAGCACACCAACATCCGTGATTCAAAGATTGTCCAAAGGAGGGCAGAAGGCTATGGATGACAGTAGAAGCCCAAAAGACATTTGCAGGATCTACACCTCTGGTGGTTTCCCTCTAATCCTAATTGAGGGATGGGAATAACCTGGTTATCAGACAGATTATTGGAGAGATTATTAAAGAAGATTAAAATGATAAATTTTACTTGAGTGGTTAAAACCTTGTCACGTGATCTCCTGATACACTTTGAACTTGATCTAGTTTTTAATATTTTCTGGGTTTTTTTCATATTGGGGTTTATCTTTGTTGCATTTTGTTACTGTTGGTAGCCTTATTAATGCTTCGTTCTGTGTTTTCCTATGTATTTTGGTGACTTTATAGAGACGACAACTAGAATAAGGGTCCCTGGAGGGTAGGCTGAGGGAGGTGGAAAGGTAAGGGGGAGCTGATATCAAGGAGTTCAAGGAGGAAGAAAATGTTTGAACCTGATTTTGGTGCCATTTTACAACACTGCTTGATATGATTGAACTGTGGAGTGGTATGATGTCCAAATTAGCTCCTAATAAGTGGTTTGGAAAAAATAATAAAATAGCATCTCAAAAAATGTTTTTGTTTTTTTTTCAAAAAATGTTTTTAAAAGAAAATCAAGACAAATTTCCCTCCCACTGAGAGTTGAAGGGATGGTCCACCTCATCCCAAGAACCAGATACATTCTGAATCTCTGTTGTTTTATCAGTAAACGTCGATGGGCTTATTTGTCATTATTAAGTTATTGTGCATATAAATAATCTGCAGCCCGTATGTGGTTGTTGACATACACATGACAATATATGTGCCATTTGTTCGGGAATTCAGGGAGTTTTCACAACAAATAATGGTCTGATTCCCTAAAGATAAAAATAGCACACTTTGATTAATGTCTACAAATGTTTAAAAATTGTTTTTCTGCAGTAAGGGGTGTGTGGCAAAGATTTTGCCATTTTAGCCATCTGCAGTGTGCAGCTGAGTGGCATTGACTAGGTCTGAAGTATTCCGTGGTCATAACTATCATTCATTTCTAAGACTTCTGCGTTGCTGAATGAAAACAATCACCAAGAACAGTGGCTCCCTTCCTCCAGTCCTTGGTTAATGTTGTTGCTAGTTACTCCTGCTTAACGATGGCCACACACAGAAGGAAACAGGCTACTTCATGCTCCGTCCTATGCACCATGTGATCTGTGGGTATTTTATGGGCTGATTTTCCAAAGTAGAGTGCCTTTCTTTCTAGCTATCTTAGTCTGGAAGATCCTTTAAAAACTGTTCAGTATAATGGCAACAACGCATAAGCTTCTATAGACAGAGAAATAATGGCTATCCATGGAAGACAAGAATTCTATCACCGAGCCACCAGTGGCCTCCAAGTCCCTGGTAGCCACTAGTACATTTTAGTTTCTATGAACACAGAGAGAGAGATGACTTGGAATTGCATTTAGTCATCCTTTGCATACATGCTGAATTGGGGTCCAGTG